GTAGAAAATGAACGCTAATCAGGTTCTGGGTGTACTATTCCTTTAAGGAGCTGAATTTATCAAAAACTAAGCTGCATGTTAAGAGCCGTTGTAGTGATGAAAGCACTGTTGGCAGGCTTAGGCTGCATGTGACGAGGTTAGCAGATGCTTTATTACAGTGGAAATCCATCCATCCATCCATTTTCTTACACACTTGTCCCGAATGGGATAATTACGAATGGTGCTGGTGTCTATCTCCAGCAGTCAATGGGCGAGAGGCAGGGTCCACCCTGGACAGGTCGCCAGCCTATCGCATGGCAGCACAGAGACACACAGCCATTCATGCACACACTCACACCTAAGGACAATTTAGAGAAGCCAATCAACCTAACAGTCATGTTTTTGGACTGTGGGAGGAAGCCGGAGTACCCGGAGAGAACCCACGCATGCTCAGGGAGAACATGCAAACTCCATGCAGAAAGACCCCGGACCCGCACTGAGGTGTGTTGTCAACAGGCATTGGTAGTGTAGTTTAAAGAAATTGGTTGAGTTTGAGTCATAATTATGAGCCATACAGCACAATGAATGAGTGTGTGTAAGGAAGAGGCTTTTATTTTGTAGAGTCCCTGTATTCTTATTTTAAAAGTCCTTCAAAGATGTGTGTCAAGGCAAGGGTCATGCCATGCAGTGATATAGAATTCGTTCTAAACATGAAATCACTGGTTTTCCATGTTTTTGGGTGAATAGATGCTGTATTAGAGCGTAAAAGGGAGACTTATTGTGAGATTTGCTCTGGGGTGTGTTTTGGAAAGGTGTCTAGAGTTTAATAGAAACAAGCCGGTGGAGTTTGGGTCATAATGCTGAGTGATCTGCACCAATTAATATGTGATTATAATGTAGAGGCTTTTATTTTGTAGGGTCCCTGGAGGCTTATTTTTAAAGTCTAGCAGGGTTGTGTGTTGAGGAAAGGGTCAGACCCAACATTGATACTTGATGAATTTACAATCATTGAATTGCTCTTTTTACCTGTTATTAGGTCTATAGATGAAGTCGGAATGGGAGGCTTTTATTTTGAAATTTGCGATTGCGTGTGAAGGGAAGGGTCATGGCCAGTAGTCATATTGTATCCATTTCCAAATGTTAAATCAGTGT